TTCCTCTATATACTTAACTCATTGAGTACCGTCATTATAGACACAAATAAAGAACAATAGGTTGCGGTCACCGGTGACCGCTCGGTGTTTGACAGTTTAATACATAAACCTAATGAGTTTGTTTGAACATGTTCTGTCTCCTAAACTACTGATCCACATTCAATAGTTCTTTTTGTGTTAGTTAATCCATTTATCGAAGAAGATTCGAGGGGTTATAACACATTACCAAACCGCGCGGGGGTAGCTGGTATTAAATAAACCCATTGGTGTCACATTCCTCTCATAAATAAATGAATAGGTCATTTCTTATTGGACTTGATTTTTATATGTATAATAATATTTATTATTTATTGTGAATATTTTTCATCTTTACAGGATCCTGCTGTAAGAGCATTAAAATATGCTGGAGGACGATTTGATGCAGCGTTAGATTACCTGTCAAAACAACAGGAATCTCATAACGGAGTCCTTAAGACAAGTAACTTAAATGCCTTGAACTCCAAACTTATACGAAAACCTAGTCTAGAGCGTGAAATTAACCTCCATAGAGGTAGTCCTGCACTTGATTCTGGCGCAGGCAGCTCTCGGTCTGACAGTCCTAGACAGTCGGATGCACCTCCTCTCCCTCATGAGAAATTAAGTAGGCAATACTCGCCATCCGGTTTCTCTGAACCGCCGCCACCGCCACCGCCGCGATGTCCGTCCACGCCGCCAGTAATGCCATCAGTGCAGCAGCTCATGAAGCGCATGTCACCCGCGCCACCATTACCGCCCGCGCGTGGCACCAGCCCCGTGGCAGCTGGCGCACCCACTCCACCTGCCCGGCAGCCAATGATAGTGCAGAATGGCCCACAAGTCCAGCAGCAGTTAACGCAGCAGATTCAGGCCCTGAGCATTTATCAATCGACAGGTGGAGGTGCAGAACTGCCCCCACCATATCCACTGTCGGGCGTACCACCTCCTCCTTCATATTCAGTGTCAATACAGAATCGCCAAAGTCCCACACAGTCACAGGACTATCGGAAGAGTCCATCGTCGGGGATCTACTCGGGAGGCACCTCCGCCGGGTCGCCGAGTCCGATTACGGTGACGCAATCGACAGGCTCGGCGTCGGGGATGACTCGACCTACGCCTATTCAGGCGTGGACTGCGAGACAAGCGGTGCAACCTCCCATTATTATGCAATCTGTGAAAAGTACACAAGTTCAGAAGCCAGTACTGCAGACTGCGATAGCGCCTGTTGCACCTCCACCTGTCGCGAGCTCGGTCGCGCAGCCGCCTCCGCCCTCGTATGCTAGTTCTATCCAACAGAAGCAACAGGCGCAAACACCGCCGAGCTACCCTCTGGCCCCGAAGCCGTCCTCGCCCGGGTCCACGCCCCCAGTCATACCTACAGCGACCACTCCCACCGTTCCCACTACAGAACCACCGAGCTATGCTATCACAATGCAAGCTCTAGCCGTGCAGAGAGGGATGCACCCTATTCCACCGCCGCCATATGGCAATCAAAACGATAACACGACTACTGTCAATTCCCACCACTCACCTTTACATAAGAAGTTCTCAAACACAGGAGAAGCTTCCCAGGTAGAAATTAAATGTCCTAATCAAAATTGTACGAACAATCTACTGAAAGATAGTGTAGCCGCGTCCAGCTCTGATAAAAGTTCGAACGGTTCAACGGAGCGTCGACCCAAGGGCTTAGAAAAGATAAGACATCAATCGCCTATTCCGGAAAGGAAAAATATTAGTAAAGAAAAAGAAGACGAACGAAGAGATTGTAAAGTGAGAAATTATTCACCTCAAGCTTTTAAATTTTTCATGGAACAGCATGTTGAAAACATTTTGAAGTCGTATAAGCAACGAACGTTTAGACGAATGCAGTTGGAGAAAGAAATGACTAAAATAGGTCTCAGTGCAGAAGCACAATGTCAAATGAGGAAGATGTTATCTCAGAAAGAATCCAACTACATTAGATTAAAGAGAGCAAAGATGGACAAGTCAATGTTCACGAAAATTAAGCCGATCGGAGTAGGCGCCTTTGGGGAAGTGACGTTAGTAAGAAAGATTGATACTAGTCATCTATATGCCATGAAGACACTTCGAAAAGCTGACGTGCTGAAGCGGAACCAGGTGGCGCACGTTAAAGCTGAAAGGGATATATTAGCGGAGGCTGACAACGAATGGGTCGTTAAACTTTATTATAGCTTCCAAGATAAAGATAATTTGTATTTTGTGATGGACTATATACCTGGTGGTGATCTGATGTCTTTGTTAATAAAGCTGGGTATATTCGAAGAGAGCCTCGCTAGGTTCTATATCGCGGAGTTGACGTGTGCGGTGGAAAGTGTCCATAAGATGGGCTTTATCCACAGGGACATCAAACCCGATAATATTTTAATAGATCGCGATGGCCATATTAAGTTGACAGATTTTGGTTTATGTACGGGATTTAGGTGGACGCATAATTCTAAATATTACCAGAGAAATGGTGAGCAATTTTTTATACTATACTTACATAAATTAATTACGTACTGAAAGAATTCATGTGTTATTTCATTATAATCAATTTGTTGACTTAGCTGTACAGAAAATGCAAAAAATAAGATTTTTGTTATATTTATATTGTAACCTTGGTGAGACATACAAAATTAATCATTATGTTTTAAAACTAGTTGAGTTCCTCGTCAAATAATTATGTGAGTAAAACATAATAATTGATTTCTATTCTGTTAAGTAAAGTTCGTCTTATTTAATGCTTGTTAAATGATTGTCAATAATGATACATACCTACCTACTTGTTTAGATCATGGACGACAAGACTCGATGGATCCAGTGGATGGAGAATGGGGTGCCATGGGCGAGTGTAGATGTCATCAGCTGAAACCTTTGGAGAGGCGACGCAAGCGAGAGCACCAGCGATGTCTGGCGCACTCGCTGGTCGGCACGCCCAACTACATCGCGCCTGAGGTCCTACAGCGCACCGGTTACACGCAGCTGTGCGACTGGTGGTCTGTCGGTGTCATCCTCTACGAGATGTTAGTCGGATCGCCACCTTTTCTAGCCTCCACGCCCGCCGAAACGCAACTCAAGGTTAGCTATGAAATACTTATATTGTACATTTGTTATCATTATCTTTCTGCATAAATTGATACATTTGCCTAATTTACATTTCTTCATTTCACAGGTTATAAACTGGGAAAGTACCCTACATATCCCAGATGCAGCAAAATTATCTCCAGAGAGTAAGGATCTAATCCTACAGCTATGTTCTGGTCAGGAAACGAGGCTCGGCAAAGATGCGAACGAAGTAAAGAACCACCCGTTCCTACATGGCATTGACTTCGACAAGGGACTGAGGAGGCAAGTGGCACCATACATACCTCGGATCGACTACGCGACCGACACTTCCAACTTCGATCCAGTGGACCCGGACAAGCTCCGTAACTCGGGCAGCTCTGACTCCAACAAGTCGGACAGTGAGCTTCTCGACAACGGTAAGACGTTCCACGGATTCTTCGAGTTCACGTTCCGAAGGTTCTTCGATGACGGTTATACGAACAAAATCAACCTCGACGACAACGATAACCAGGGACCCGTGTACGTATAGAACGAGCGCCGCGATACAGTGATAAAAGAGACACTGAGACTAACTTGTAGGATTTTTTTACAAAGTGTGTGCCTTTGACTCTCTCTATTAAAACATTAGTTTTTGTAAACGTAACGAATATAACGTATTTAAAATTAATTAAAAGCCGTATTGTTAATAATCCCGGTGATAATGTTGTAATATTGTATCGTTATGTATTTGTAAGAGTAATCTTATTTCACTGTAATATATGTAACGAATGGATCACAGTAGTGCATAGCCTAACTATGGTGCTGTTAGCGACCGGCGGCCGCGGCAATGTGCGGTGCGCGTCGTAATGTCTAATGTCCATTCAGTGTATACTATTTTTTGTAACTAGAGAAATTATTTATGAGATAAGAACAAGCTTACTGGAATTAGTGAATGATTGTCACTATATTTTCTTATGTATTTATCGAGGTAGGTCGCTTATGTGTGTTTGTTTATATACGTGTAAAACGTTTACTTATGATTCATTCACGTCATACAAGCATAATTAGTAAAACGTACTGTGCTTCCATTTTGTCTACAGGACACTAGCTCATAATGTGTGCCTTAGAGTTTCGATATTAACATTTTTACAAGTGTATATTAAAGAATTTGTGATGGGTCAATCAATTGTACACAACAACATAGTAGATAAAGTTTTATAATTCGACATATGTACTGAGTGCAATACATCGCACCCTGAGAACGAAAGTGACTCAACTCAAAATTGCCAATTTTTGGGAATAGGCGAAAATGTGTACGTCGTATTAAGCATTTTCTGTTCATTTTACAATAACACTAAAACATGGTAACAAAAGATACGAATTTCTTTTGAAATATATTTGTCTTGTCGTGACAACTCACGGTGCAACACTGATTTCGTCACTTTGATTCGGGCGCGGGGGGGGAGAACGGTTGAGGGAAAAAGAGACCGAAATATATCTCTATCCTTTTCTTACCTTTATCGGCCAGTTTTGGAATTTATATATGATTGAGTATACTTTTTTGAGTCATTCTGTATACTTAACTCATTTAACCAAAATTTTGAAATCGGTCACTTTCGTTCTCAGCGTGCGACATATTTATTTATGAGACAAAAGTCGATACTTGATTTGCTGTTGTTGAAGTTTTACTTCGGTTTATTTAGTAAAGCGATTTTTGAGTCGAATTTTTGCGTTTAAAATATGCAACATTTTGTAACTACCATTAAACTAACAATATCCAGTATAGTCGCAAAGTAAATAACATAAAGTAATGAGAACAAAAGGCGTATCATCCGCCATACGATAACAAAACTGCTTGTTTGTGTTTGAAGAAAAAAAAAACACAATTTTTTCACTTGTACAGTAAAATATGAGTCAGTTCAATTTTAAATTATGTGTTATTGAATGTAAATTGTTTTATTCTGAAATGAATCATGCTTATAAGTGAATGAAAATAAAATATGGGAATTTTTGTTATTTTTTCTTTCCAATCCATAACCATATACATAATTACAAATAATTAAATGGTATAGGTGAGTATCAGTTGATGATCTCATTATTTCTTCATTTTTATTATGGTTTTAATAAAAACTCTTGCACTCTTTGGTTGAAGTCTTCAGCATACTTCAGGTGAACATGATGTTTCCCTTCAGGGTACAGATGTATCCTAAAAATAATATACTTAGTGCTTAACTTATGTTCTCACATTGCATGAAATATGTGTCATTTGTTCAGTGAGCTTACCTTGAGCCATCAATGTGAGTATGCAAGTGAGAAGCATGCACACTGTCCACTAGGGGGTCCTTTTGACCATAGAGTATAAATGTGGGGCATTTTATATTTTTTAACATTTCAGCACAGATATTGCCATCCTTAGTTTTGTATAGAGCTTCCATTCCATCAACCCATTCAGCCCAGTATTTGGCAAATAATCGTTCTCCATATATTTCAACTAAAGGCTCTCTCATCCTTTTTGACCAGGAATTGATGTCTCTAATTTCTGGAGAGGTAAACAATCACACATTATAATGTAAGTCTACATTACAACATATTGTTGTTCAGTAATTTTCAGTTCAGTAATCTTATCTTTATTATAAAACTAGTGACCCGCCCCGGCTTCGCACGGGTGCAATATGCATGTATTATACATACAAACCTTCCTTAAGAATTACTCTATCTATTAAAAAAAACCGCATCAAAATCCGTTGCGTAGTTTTAAAGATCTAAGCATACATACGGACATACAGCGAAAGCGACTTTGTTTTATACTATGTATTGATTGTCAATATAGAACCCATGATATAATCCAAGATTATCAAACTTACTCTTGTACATTTCCACTTCATTAGGTAACACAAAAGAATTGGCACCCCAGACCACTAGCTTATTGACTGCATCTGGGTACTTAGCAGCATGGATCAAACTGGTGACTCCACCATCACTGAATCCCAATAGGGAGTATTTCGGAATTTTCAAAGCCTTAAACCATAATAACAGTTTTAAATAGACCTTCCAATACTTATGCCAGGGATTAAAATAAAATGACCATTTACCTTCATAAATTCGAAAGCTGCATCTGCGTCCCTTTCGTAGAAATCAGTACTAAATGTTTTTTCAGGTGGTCTACTCTTGCCATAGCCTGGTGGATCCCAAACCACAAGTGTGAATTTATCTCGGTTGAATCCCTCTATTTGAGGTTTACCCTCTGTCCATATTGTCCCAAGAGCTCCCGGCAAGAATAAGGCATGATGAGCTCCATTACCAACTTTTACATAGTTGATAACACTATCCTTGATTTTAATTTGTTCTTCCTGCAATTTAAAGTTAACTAGGTACTGAAATTTATGCTGAATAATTGCATTACCTTGGAAATTGCACTATTCTTAATTTTATTATATTATGAGAAATAAAGATACAAATCTTTCAGGGAAAATCATCAAATATGATGTAATCTCTATAATAAGTTAGAGTCTAACTTTAGACTTCTGTTAGACGTTAAGTACAAAAAGTCCAGAATCCAGAGGAAACAAAGGTCAAAATGTATTTATGTAAGTTTATTCCTGTTACTAACCTTAGCGACTACAGATGTAGAGAGAGTCCGGTAAATGGTTTTACTTAAATAAGATAGAGGTGAAATTATTTTTCTCACTGTTATTAACATTTTAACCTCGTCCGATCACAGTTACGTACAGTTGTCTCGATTTTTGAGACAGATAGATCTATTTTTAGGTTTTTATCTGTTTAATATGCTAGTGGGCACATTATTATAAAGTTGTCTTATCAGAAAAAATCCATGAACAATAACAATTAACAATATTCACCTTCAAAATCTTTGAAAGAAAAGATAATAGTGTTTATTTTGTTATCAGCACGACTTTTCTTTTTCTGACGTTTGACAGCAGGATGAAAATATATATATATTTAAAGTTAGACAGAGATAGACATAGTGAGGGTTGCTAGTTTTTAATTCTTTTGTCAGGACATTCCGTTTTATGCTATGTCAAAATTAATGTTTCCTATTCTTTACAAAGATATTGGAAGGAGGATGGGTGACACTTCAACTGTATGAAGGAAGTTAGATGTGTAAACTTTTTATACTCATTCCGATCCCTCCAGCCGTTTTGAAGATTAATCTAAACTACCTACCTAATTAAATAAACAATCAACATCAACAGCTTATAAATCCCCACTACTGAACAAAGCCTCACATGGAGGTTTGAGCATTAATCACCACGCTTGCTCAATGCGGGTTGGCGTATTATCAATTAGCCCAGTTTTGCTCACGATGTTTTCCTTCACAGTTTGTCAGTGGTGTCTAAATAATCTTAAAAAATACATATAACTCTGAAAAAGTCGCATTAGTACTGGCCGTTAGTAGGTTTCGATTTCAAATTCAAACCCGCGCTCTTATGCCTTGTCGAGTCGGTAGGTAACTACTGAGGTTTGGGATGATCTTTTGGGGTAATTCCACTCACAAGGATATAGTCTTCAAACAACAAAAACGTTGCATAAGAGCTATGTTCGGAATAAAAAGTATGGACAGTTGTAGGCCGCTATTTGGTGAATACAAAATTTTAACACTTCCGTCTTTATACATACTTGAAGTTGCATTGTTTGTTAGAAGCAACTTGCACTTGTTTCCGCGCTTATCCGAATATCATGTAAGAAATCGACGTGATAATAACATTTGCATTCATCCATCTAGAACTGCATTGTTGCACAAAAGCATATTATGTTTGGGTCCTAAAATTTATAATAAAATACCTAAATCCATATAAGCCTTAAATTTTAACATGTTTAAAAATAAACTCAAACGTTTGTTACATAAGAAATGTTATTATAATATAGGAGATTTTTTAAAAGATAAATTAGATTTGTAATACAATTAACATAATTTTGTTGTACCTGTAACGGTTAATATTGTCTTCTATGTCTTTTTTGCTTATTTAGGTTTGCATGTATATTTTTTTTTTCACTACCTGCCTTAATATTAAATTATAATTTTAAATATATGTACGCCAAAACGGCATAACATGTAGCTCATACTCCTAACTTAACACCATTGCAAGTACTCTTGTAATATTACTCATGATAACGCAAATAAAAAATATCTTTATCTTTATCTTTATGCGTGGAAAGCGCCACTACCTACAACCGATCAATCCCCTAGTGGTCACCGGTCACCGCTCTCCACTAACTCCATTATAGATCTTATTTCCGATTGTTAGAGACTATTTTTGTATGAAGAAAATTTGGGGACTGCCTCAATGGCCGAGTGTTCGCAAGTGCGACTACCGGGCAAAAGGTCTCGGGTTCGATTCTCAGGTCGGGTAAAGTATTACTAGGTTTGAGAAAACTTCAGTAATAGCACGGAGTCTGGAAATGTGCCCGGTAGGTATATGGCAATAGGCTCACCCCCTATTACATGTAGAGATGGGCACTGGGAAAAAACCCAAAGGAAAAAACCTGGGTTTTTTCCCATTTCGGGAAAAAACCCGGTTTTTATGTGGGAAAAAACCCAATAGGCGGGTATTTTCATTTATAATGATCTTATTCTATTTTTATTTTCAGAACTAAATAAATAGGTACTTTGTGATGCGCATATACCTACATTCACTCAAAAAAGTATCGGGAATGGATGATTTGTTTATGGTTCCAAATTTAAATTTTTGTTTTTATGTCGTTGTTAGATTGGCACAACTGTTTGGCGCGGAGTTTGAATTGCATGTTATTTATATTAAATACAGCGCTGGTTTCAGAAATAATATATATATGTATATTGTGAATTTCATAATGGACACAAATATCGATCAAAGAGTTTGTCTTAAATTTTGCATCGCCAATGGAATTTCGTGTTCGGAGTCACTGAAAATGTTACAGAAAGCTTACGGTGAATCGACTTTATCAAAAACTCGTGCTTATGAGTGGTTCAAAGCGTTCAAAGCGGTCGAGATGTGATGGAAGATTTGCCTCGCTCTGGTCTGCAACTGTAGTTAACATCGCAAAAGTGAAGGAAATAGTGGCTGAAAATCCCCATTCAACCCTGAGAGAGTTAGCCGCCGAACTTTCTGAATCTTACGAGTCGATCCGTACCATTTTAACTAATCTATACTATACATTAAAGGGTATGAAACATATTGCTGCTCGGCTAGTTCCAAAAGATCTAAATTTTCTCCAAAATCTATGAAAGTCGCTGAGGATATGCTAGAACGAGTCAGTTCGGACCCAACATTCATGAAACGCATTGTTACTGGTGACGAGACGTGGGTTTATGAGTTTGGCATGCAAACTAGTCAACAAGCTTCGGAGTGGCGCCTTCCAACTGAACCGAAACCGAAAAAACCACGCCAAAGTCGATCAAAAGTCAAAGTCATGTTGACTGTTTTCTTTGACTATCGCGCTGTTGTGCACTCTGAATTCTTACCGGAAGGTCTAACGGTAAATAAAGAATATTATTTGAGCTTTATGCGGCGTTGAAGAGAGCAAATTCTACGAAAAAGGCCAGATTTGTGGAAAGAAAATTCTTGGATTTTGCACCACGAGAAAGCGCCTTCGCACAAGGCTATCATTGGTGGCATCAAGGTGAACGAATTTTTGACCAAACACTCAACAAATACCATCCAGCAACCACCATATTCACCAGATATGGCTCCTGCTGACTTTTTTCTTTTTCCTAAACTCAAATTACCACTTCGTGGCACCCGTTTTCAATCGATAGAAGACGTAAAGGAGAATTCGCGGCGAGAACTAAACTCAATTCTGGAAGCAGCGTTTAAAAAATGTTTTGATGAATAGATTATTCGTTGGCGCAAGTGTATCGTCTCTAAAGGAGCATACTTTAACTCGTTGAGTACCGTCATTACAGACAATTAAAGAACAATAGGTTGCGGTCACCGGTGACAGTTTAAACTGTCAAACACCGACCGCTCGGTGTTTGACAGTTTAAAGGTGATAAAATAAATTTGGATGAATAACAGAAATTTTTTGTATTATTGATCTTTTCCCGGTACTTTCTTGACAGAGTAGTACTTAGCACCAGCGTGTATAAGGCACTAGCTGTTGTCTGTTATTTGAAACGTTAAAATGTGTAGTCTATTTCAAGGACTAAAACATAACCAGCATATTTATTATAACACCATAAAGACGTCTTCTTGTTTTATAATAAGTTTTTACTGCGCTCTGTGATGGAATGTTAACAGCAGAAAAAATACCTATTAAACTTTAAAGAATGTTTGACTAAAATAATATAATTAAAACAACGAGAGATACTCTTACTAACAATCATTTATTATACTTTACAAAAGTTACAAAACTGTAAATTTACCGGTAAATTTCGTTCGTAAAAAAAGTAGGTATCAAAGTCCGTAAGAGTAGCAGTTGTTGTCAATTCAAAGGATTAGGTAACCAAAAGTCCACCAAACAAAATCCAAGTCGTCAATTAAACCAACAAATTAACACGAGTGCGCACAGTATGAAGCCGAAACAACGTGTGAGATAGATAGATCACCAACGCGCTCGCCCCTCTTCTACCTGCTTCCCTGCCCCTCTACCCGCTCACGTATTTTCGGGTTACCTGTCGCTAAGAGCGGAGGATCACACACAAACAGACAGGATTTTTGTTTAATTTCATTTTCTTTCATTTGATAATAGGTCCCTAAGGATATTAAGAACGTTATTACTGCAATATGAACATAAACAAAGTTAGATTAGCTCTAACTTGTAGTAATAGTTCTTAAATAGTACGTACTATATGATATGTACATAATCACATTACTTATTTGTTACATGTGTTAAATATGAAAAAACCCGAATATTTTCCCATTCGGGAATTTTCCCCGGGTTTTTTCCCGGTTTTTTCCCATATTCGGGTATTTTCCGGGTAAAATCCCATCTCTATTACATGGGACTCATAACATAAATAGTGAAAAGTGGGTGTTACATGGTACAGTGGCATTAAGTGCCGTAATGTGTACCTCTGCCTACCCCTTCGGGGATAAAAGGCGTCATGTTATGTTATATATGTTATGTAAAATTTGGGGATTGATATCAGGTGATTGTGTACGAGTTAAATAAACGATACATAGGTACTATAAACAAATACTTACTAATATATAAAATTACAATTGAGCGGTTCAAGCTAATTTCGACCATCGGCCCTACAGCTCAAGGTCCACTACGGGTAACTTAACATTCGACAAACTTATTATTTGCGTTTGGTACAGTAAGCGTGTATTTAAGCATCGAGCCGTACAACTTAGTTATTTTTTTATTTTATATTATACTTTTTTGGAATAAAAAGAAACTAGTGTGATTCCCAGGATATTCAGTCTTTGACTGGCATTAGAAACCTGTTGAAAGCAAATCCTCCGCTAACGTCCGTCGGTCATCGATGACCCCCCGCCCTGGCGTTTAACGTGTTAAAGTATAATCATATCAACTTTCATTGTAATACATAACCATATACATAATTACAAATAATTAATGTTCTCAAAATGTTACATCTCATTATTTCCTCATTGCTATTATGGTTTCGATAGAAACTCTTGCACTCTTTGGTTGAAATCTTCAGCATACTGCAGGTGAATATGATGTTTCCCTTCAGGGTACAGATGTATCCTAAAAACAATATAGTGCTTAACTTATGTTCTCACATTGCATGAAATATGTGTCATTTGTTCAATGAGCTTACCTTGAGCCATCAATGTGAGTATGCAAGTGAGAAGCATGCACACTGTCCACCAGGGGGTCCTTTTGACCATAGAGTATAAATGTGGGGCATTTTATATTTTTTAACATTTCAGCACAGATATTGCCATCCTTAGTTTTGTATAGAGCTTCCATTCCATCAACCCATTCAGCCCAGTATTTGGCAAATAATAGTTCTCCATATATTTCAACTAAAGGCTCTCTCATCCTTTTTGACCAGGAATTGATGTCTCTAATTTCTGGAGAGGTAAACAATCACACATTATAATGTAAGTCTACATTACAACATATTGTTGTTCAGTAATTTTATTGTACCTGCTGGTGATCTTATCTTATCTTTATTAAAAAACTAGCTGTACCAGCAAACTCGTCTGTGTCTTTTTTAATACCAGTAGCCTATGTTACTTCTGTAGTTCTGTCTGAGTACTTGCATCAACTATCTGCCAATAAAAGTCCCTTCATAATCGGTCCAGAGATTTCAAAGATTAGCTAGTACAACGGACAAAAATTGTGAAAGCGTTACTTTGGTACTTATATGTACCATAATATGAACATATTATGTATGTAATTTTAAGTGGTTACATTTCAATATTACAAACGGATAGTTAATTTTTTTTTATCTGTGTAGTTGGTCATGGTCAATATAGAGACAAGATTATCAAACTTACTCTTGTACGATTCCATTTCATTAGGTAACACAAAGGAATTGACACCCCAGACCACTAGCTTATTGACTGCATCTGGGTACTTAGCAGCATGGATCAAACTGGTGATTCCACCGTCACTGAATCCCAATAGAGAGTATTTCGGAATTTTCAAAGCCTTAAACCATAATAACAGTTATAAATAGACCTTCCAATACTTATGCCAGGGATTAAAATAAAATGACCATTTACCTTCATAAATTCGAAAGCTGCATCTGCGTCCCTTTCGTAGAAATCAGTACTAAATATTTTTTCAGGTGGTCTACTCTTGCCATAGCCTGGTGGATCCCAAACCACAAGTGTGTATTTCTCTCGATTGAATCCCTCTATTTGAGGTTTTCCCCCGATCCATATTGTCCCAAGAGCTCCGGGCAAGAATAAGGCATGGTGAGCTCCATTACCAACTTTTACATAGTTGATAACACCATCCTTGATTTTAATCTGTTCTTCCTGCAATTTGAAGTTAACTAGGTACCTTGGAAACGGCGTTATATTATGAGAAAACAAATTCTTTTAGTGAAAATCATCAAATATGATATAATCTCTAATCTATAATAATGAATCCCTATAACTCTTGGTAACGCCATCATATGCGTGAACGGCTGGACCGAGTTCACTACCTACTTTTTTGTTGTTTGTGTCAGGAGAAGGTTTATAAGACAAAAAAAATCTCTAAAATCCTAGGGAGCGTAAGAAAACGGGATTGCGCGTAGGAAGTCGAGGGCTGAAGCTAATCTTTATGTTAAGATAGAGTATAGCTGTTAGACGATAAGTACAAAAAGTTCAGAGAAACCAAGTCTAAATGTATTTATGTATAATTCCTGTTACTAACCTTAGCGACTACAGATGTAGAGAGAGTCCGGTAAATGGTTTTACTTAAATAAGATAGAGGTGAAATTATTTTTCTCACTGTTATTAACATTTTAACCTCGCCCGATCACAGTTACATACAGTTGTCTCGATTTTTAAGACAGATAGAACTAATTTTAGATTTTTATCTGTTTATTATGCTAGTAGGTACATTATTATAAAGTTGTCTTATCAGAATAAATGCATGCACAATAATGATTAACGTTAAATTCACTTTCAAAATTTCTGAAATGAAATAATCAATGTTTATTTTGATAAATGCTATCATACGAAATTAATTTTGTAAAAAATATTATCTTATCACGTTTTATAGATGATGTAACGTTTTCTGTTTAATTTGAGGTCAAAATACTACACCCCAGAGTTACTAATAACAAATTGTGGAAATCTTTGCATTTTAAAAAACACACTACTCTGTTCTTTCAATATTAGCACTAGATTAAGTAAACTGCCTAGAGCAATTAAATATCTAAAACAAGACATATGCGGCTGCGCTATTTGCCACTTTATCTGATCCATAATCTGTAGTGGATTCGTCACACATCGCTATTTGACAGACGTGAAATGCAACAATAAAATTGTTTTTTCAGGCCTACGAATTAATAACAAGTAGCATATACGAAAATAAAAAGGGCACCGGTATGACGGTAAATACACTAAATACCTACGTGATACCAATATACCTTCCATAAGCAACAAGGATTGCATACATGGGGCGGTAATGAAGAGACAAAAATAACACAAAATAATAGTATTAAAATTTTATTATCAGTGTGACGCTCAAGACACCCTAGCAAATAAACTAGTATTTTAATGTTAAAAGCAAAGACGGTTCCTTAAATTAAATTAATCTTCCATAGATGCAAATTGTTGTGACGGTGTTTAACCCTGCAGATATACATGACATAATATAAACTGACCATACACAATCTAATGATTGTTTTAAAGTAATACTTAAATAACCATTTCACTGGATGAATAAACTAAAATAGTAACAGAGTGACAGATCACAACGCATGTATTTGCAGTGAAGATGCATAAATGAAATTAAAATTATACTGTTTCATATCTTACCAAGTAAAATTTTAGAGTAATAAAGGCATAAGAGATGTTCTCTGTGACATGTTAGTTCCACACTTCGACGTACACCTCAATAGTACACCGACATACATGCATCTCAAGCATTCTATAATAATAATATGTCAAAGATTGATCTCAGCACATTTGAACTATTCGTATTATAGTAAAAATATGTATTTTTGGGATTATAATTGCAAATTCGAACAATACAATTAGCACCACAGTGGCTCCATTAGTAACAATTCATTCTAGACAATGCTAGCTTTACACGAGACGGGAATTTAGTGGCAAAGGATGTACGCACGCAGACAGGCCTCCATGATGTGATATCATGTTTGGGTGTATTAAATTCAGTCATGTGCGGTACTGAGATCGCCGTGGAGCTTACTCCTAACATAACACCATAACATAGGAATTAAATTACATAAATGTTACGTTAGTTGTAAGTGTAATTTAGCTTGATGACTTATTTATTATAGTTCTCCGGCGTGGCACGCATCTTCGTAGCTCCTGCCCTTTTCTTCGGGATCCAATTTGATCATGTCGTCGATACGAAGGATCGTGATTGCGGCTTCTGTCGCGAACTTGAGAGATTTCACCTTGGAGATGGCTGGCTCAAGGACTCCTGCAGCTAAGTTATCACGCAACACACCTTCTGTCAGGTCTAGACCTACCCATTTGAGGTTGGCATGCTCAACCTGGAATGATTGGAACGATATTCAGTTAATGATTTAATAATAAAAAAATACGCAGTTAGTAGGTATATAGTATACCTCTAGTTTGTATGACAATAAATTATACCTTAGTTTGTGAAGAGTTGTGATAGGCGCGCAGCTTAGCAACTAGATCGGTGGCATCTCGCGCGGCGTTCACGGCTAGCGTCTTCGGGATGACGAGCAACGACTGCGCGAAGGCGGCAATCGCTAACTGCTCGCGAGAGCTCTGCAACACGTAAAGTGGTTTTTTAGCAAATAAAGTAAATTAACTTATGTTGATATTCTATTCTTTAATTGATTTGTGTAAACAATAAGATTTTTTTCAATAAGAGAAAGTAGTGTTTTATACCAGTGTGGTGGCGAAATTCTCCAAGTAGATGGAGAGCGCAGCCTCGACGGCGCCGCCGCCGGGCACGAGCCGCCCCGACTCCAGCACGCGGCGCACGGCGCACAGCGCGTCGTGGGCCGAGCGCTCCATCTCGTCACAGTACGCGTCCGTCGGCCCGCGGAGGATTATTGACGCCGCCGTGCGCGCTACTGGCCTGGATAATACACATAATATGTTGTCAGTTGACAGTTTTATGAATACCACAAGTAATTACTTTTTTTTTTAGTGAAGAAATAAAATTATTATGATAGATAATATGGTAGACTGCCTCGTTGGCCGAGTGGTCGTAAGTGCGACCGGGCAAGGGGTCTCGGGTTCGATTCCCGGGTCGGGCAAAGTATTACTGGGTTTTTAAATATTCTCAGTAGTAGCACGGAGTCTGGAATTGTGCCCGGTATATGGCAATAGGCTCACCCCCTATTACATGGGTGGGACTCAGAACATAAATAGTGAAAAGTGGGTGTTGTACATTGTACTGTGGTATAATGTGCACCTCGGCCTATCTCTTCGGGGATAAAAGGCGTGATGTTATGTTATAATATGGTAGACAATACGATGCGACGATTTGTCTACCAATTATTATTCTTACATGTCTTGAAGTCATCATTATTCTAGTTTATTTCAATAAATAAGTAGTAAAAATAAGCTATATCTAGTGTGTTCTTACCCCTTAATAAGAATAAGTTGGTCATCACAGATCTGTTCTTGTACAACTTCAGCAGCCTCTCCAATCATGCTGGGCTCAAATACTTCTTCACCCTCCATGTTCGTGAGAGATGTGAGGAAGGCAGCTCCGGTCGCCTTAGCGATACGTTTCAGATCAGCCTTCTTGCACCTTCGCACGCCCATGGCACCATGCTCCACGAAGTACTTAAGACACAGGTCATCAATACCGCCCGAGCACAATATAACGTTGACGCCGGTCGCCAGGATCTTTTGCAGACGCTCTTTGGTGATGTCCAGCTCACGAGCGCGAATGGCTTCCAGTTTTTCGGGATCAGTAACTAGGACCTGTAATTATTAGTCAGAACGTAAATTAAATAGAAAACAAGGAAAATGGTGCAAGATAGTAACTGAATGGTATCCAAGGGACAGTAAATGCAGCAGAAAGCAGTTCAAAAAGATGGGAAGACAAACTAAGACTAACAGCGGGTACCAACTGGTTAAGAGGGGCCCGTGACAGAATTCAATGGAGACAGCAAGAGGAGCCTTAGCCAATTGGCACACTGAATTAAGAGATATACTGTAACCTTTTAGTTACAACTCTTAATAAAGGGGTTTATTATAAGTTGTGGACAATCACAAGTTAGCTAAAATATTGTTATAACTGTCACAGCTGTTCAATTATTTATTTTTCATTACATTGTTACACAAAAAAATAATTAATTGTACCTGAACTCCAAGCTTCATCTTAGTCTTCTGCAGTGAGAAGTCGAGGCATGCGATCTTCGCATTTAAAATCTTCTTGGGCATAGCCTGTGAGGCCACAGTGCAGTTGAGAGCATAACCCTTAACCAGGACACTCTCCCGGGCGCTGCGCCCATGGGCCTTCAAGATGTTTACAGCCTTGATTGGGTATGAGGGGTTTCCTTTGTAATCTGTAACCTTGATAGCTTGTGCAGCATCCACTACCATTTCAGAGAAGAAATCAGCATCACTGAAGTATGAATGTTAAGAAAATATTTAAAAGTATGATGAATAGCGAATTTGTGATAAGTCATGGCTTTATAATGATTATCAGTGAATCACATTATCTACATTTCATTGTACAGTCATAGTCATTAGAGGAATGACTTTTGCAAAACTACATGATTTTGACAAACAGAATGTGGTAATGCAGTTCCAATGATAAAATATTATTGAAAAGGATACGCTCCAATAAGTTTTGAAGACATGGTGGTCTTGGCAGCATTGACGATAGAGGCTCTGCCTAGCGACTCCACAGTGACTGTAAGGTTGTCCTGCACATACTTGACAGCCTCTTTGCATGCTAGTCGGTAACCAGAGATAATACTTGTAGGGTGAATCTTGTTCTTCACTAACTCATCTGCGCTCTAAAATAAATAAAAAATAAATTGGAACTTGTATCATCATAATAGTTTCTATTTCAAAATTTTTTTAGTACATATTCATTTACACAAATGAATTAAGTATTTATGTATTGCTATGGTAACTTGGTAACAATAGAAAACATTGAAATGAAAAAAAAAAAAGAATAGAATAATCATATGAATATTTCCAGTATGTTTTACAGCAAATTAGAAAAACATGAATAGTTCTAATAAGTGTTTACCTTGAGTAACTCAGCAGCGATAATGACAACAGATGTGGTACCGTCTCCGACTTCTTCATCCTGCAGCTGTGCCAGCTCTACCAGCACTTTAGCAGCAGGGTGCTCCACTTCCAACATCCTAAAATAGACAATGAACACATTAACAACCACGGTATCTAGCACTAGAGTTTTTAATGTGAATAAATAATTTCAAGATTAAATAAATTAATAAAGCTACTACTGAATTGAAAAAAAAACCATCTCAATGCCAGTTTTTTTAATTACTACTACAAAAAAACTAGCCTATTAGGTCCTACTTTACAGAGGAATAGAATATGGCATTTTACCTACAACCATTACTGTCTACATTATAATACAAGAATAAAGTAGAAAAATCTTATAATGGTTTGGTAACAGACTTTTGAATTTAACTATGGGTTTTATGAAATGATTTTTTTTATTACAGGAATCAAAATTAACTTACTTGAGGATAGTAGCTCCATCATTAGTGACAGTTACATCTCCAATGTCATCTACCAGCATTTTATCAAGGCCCACAGGGCCCAGCGAACTCTTCACTATGTTGGCAATAGCTGCCGCTGCCATTACTGTGAATCATTCCACCATCATGAGCATTTTTATTGTCTCCCACTCAATATTACATAGGTTATAACAAAAATATAACTAAAATCATTCAAACTTAAGCTCAAACACAAGTTTATAGGGTTTACAAGCAGATTATAAACGGTTTTCAGCGCAGTTTGCTTGCATTTTCGAGTTATTGGCCAAAATGTAACCATAAGTCGCGATGCATGTGATCTACCGGAGCACAAAAACCTCATGTGAATCAACGTGAAATAACATATAAACTGTACCATTTTGAGTTCTGACTGATGACCCTGATGATCTGGTTCCTGCGACGGACAAAGCTGTTGCAACTGTCGACATTTTTAATAGAAATTTAACACAAAAATCATAAAATAATCGCCCGTCACACTTTTTTGATTCTGGAAGAATACAATGTTGCCAACTGCAAAAAACCTATGACAAATGACAATTCATTCTAAATTGCCAGTATGAAATATTTTTTCCAAAATTTTTTTCTTTATAGGTGAATATTTTGTATAATATTTGAACGATTGTGCTATATAATTTTATAGTAATTTATGACAATAATTGTTATTTATTTCTGATTTTAGACCTTATATAGGTTGCACTTGCAGAGTAAATGACGATGCCCTGACCCTGAATAATGCGATCACCTGGTGGTTAGCGTTAACAGGACTTCACTTTTACATAGAATAACTGCATCCCTAGCTAGCTAAAATAATGCGTTTCTATTTAGACCTAATGTCTATTTAATATGCCTACCTAAAAACATTCATCATTGAATTTCTCTCTCTCCTGTTTATCATCCTTATCCTTATTCCTTATATATATATCTTACTTCTTACTATATATAATATTATAAATCGGAAAGTGAGTTTGTTTGTTTGTTTGTTTGTTCCGATTTCACGCCGTAACTACTGAACCGATTGCTTTGAATTTTTGCAGACGTAAAGTTAGAAGTCCGTATTAAATAATAGGGTACTTTTCATCCCGGAAAAATGTGACATTCCCGTGGGAAAACAAAAGTATTGGTATAGATGGCGCTGTATATATTGGTATATGTCACATAGGCTACTTTTTATCCTTTTGTGACGCGAGCGAAGTCGCGGGTAAACGCTAGTAATATATAAACAGGAATCAGATACGCAACGTGTTGCACAGTAGTATTTTTGCAGTCAGTCAGATTTAGCCTACTGTTGACACAGTAGGCTGAATTGTGTCGAATCATCGTGTAATGAACAGATTTGTATTATAACTTTTTTTACTTTACCTAATTATTTCGTTTTAATACTTTTTATGTTGTTAGAATTAAAAAGTAATAAAACACATTTCCCAAAAAAGTATGTGCAGAAGAGTACCTAGTTCGTTAGTCTCGTTGAAACTTGAGAACGGCTGAACAGTTTTGGCTTATTTTGATCTTAAAATATTCGTGGAAACCTTCCGTGGGGTTTAAAAGGTTAAAAATTTTTTTAGGCTGTACGAAGTAAAAAAAGAGTATAAATATTAATTTGATTTAAATAGAACTCGACCAATAAGTGACCCTGCAAGTTGTAACCGGCCAAATGATTCATAAGTTACAAATGTATTAAAAAAAAACAAACACAAACCGAAAATATCACAAGGAAAACGAAAACCTAAGGAACGACACAGATTTACGAGCTAAAAAAATATGAGTTAAGTTTCATAGGGTACGCGGCGTAGGGCTGACATTTGATACATTTATCACGTACGATTCAGTAAAAGGGTACATCTAGGGTTACGTGACTAGAGCGGACGGGACGACCTCCGCGGGAATTGGGAAAAGCACTCATGATAGGTACTACGTGACGAAGTTTTCGCGTGCTTAAAATAACTTCCCTATGTCTGAAGCAAATTGAGGACTGCATGTTCTACCTATACTGTTCTATCTGTTTTTCAAAACACGCTTGTACCTATATATTAGAAGAAGACATTGTATTACCTACTTTGAAGTATGGAGTACTTATTTAAAATTGTACACGCCATACATTTACATATCGACTGTGTAACTATTTATTATAGGTAAGTTTATATTACTGCCTCGTTGGCCGAGTGGTCGCAAGGGCGACTGCCGGGCAAGGCGACTCCCGGGTCGGGCAAACTATTATTGGGTTTAAAAAAAATCTCAGTAGTGGCACGGAGTAAGAATTGTGCCCGGTATATGGCAATAGGCTCAGCCTCTATTACATGGGACTCATAACATAAATAGTGAAAAGTGGGTGTTACATTGTACAGTGGCATAATGTGCACCTCTGCCTACCCTTTCGGGGATTAAAGGCGTGATGTTATATTTTATTTATATATGTTTATATTAAAACTTTCATGAGACATACTAAATTAATTATTATGTTTTCGGCTTACTCACTTAACTGTTTTACAAGGAACTCGACTAGTTTGAAGCCATGCTCGGGGGCGGGGCTAATATTCATGAGCAGCATTCCACGACCCGCGACGCAGCGACTGTCACTGCTACTAAAAACAGCAATCAAAACCTCTCAATGACTTCATGAACAAACCCAGAATAACACGCGTTATTATTGTATGCACGGTGGGCACAGTCACCGAGTGATCGAAGTATGAAAAATATAACATAACATCACGCCTTTTATCCCTAAGGGGTAGGCAGAGATGCACATCATGCCATTGTACAATGTAACACCCACTTTTCACTATTTATGTTACGAGTCCCATGTAATAGGGGGTGAGCCTATTGCCATATACCGGGCACAATTCCAGACTCCGTGCTACTACTGAGAATTTTTTTAAAACCCAGTAATACTTTGCCCGACCCGGGAATCGAACCCGAGACCCCTTGCTCGGCAGTTGCACTTGCGAACACTCGGCCAACGAGGCAGTATGAAAAATCGTAGTTTTAAAAAGCTTTATGTTTTCCACAAAGCTCTGCTGCCTAGTCTCTGATTAAAGTGTACTCCCTTACGGCCGAAATTATTAACCTGTCTCAATAAAAGTGGGTAAGGATCGATTTTTGACAATACTTGTATGAAGTTTCTGTCAAACATAGTCGTTTCTTATGACGCCCATGAGACGAGTAAGGAAAGGGTGGTAACTAACTCATATACAAGGTGTCATTGAAGTCGACCACCAAATGGCACCAGGGTTCCAACAGCTATCAGAAAAATATAAAAAATCTAAGTCATATAATTTTTAAATTACAATGTACTCCTCGAAAAAGTACACTCTATGCCAGTCTTTTGACTATTGCTGCTGCAATTCTTTATTTTTTAGTCTATATTTTTGCTTATGTTATACTGAAAGTTCTCTAGTTTTACGAAATCATAAATTCTAGGCCAACTATTCTCTCTCTAAGAGACACCCTATATGTCACCATCACACGACATAATCCTATTACACGATAGTAATTTCAATACAACCTGATCAAATAATCAAAGACAGAGGTCCCTGAGATCAGCAATGCGCTTGTGGAGTGTGATCACGATCCATTTCGACCTCCGTCAGCGGGTGGGCGCAGTAAATTAACGGACTTGGAGGATAGACGGCATAATTAGTTTTCCGACGTGATACTATTTTCAAACTACTTTTTAAACACCTACGTACCAATTTGATTGATTGATTTTGGTTATATTAAGAATTTGTCTTTTTTAACAACACAATATAGAGTGGGTGTGGGTATTTTCAATTTTCGAGTAATTATTTTATGAATTCCATGTCACAATTTCTAACTTTGTGGTAAGTATCTCCTAAAACTGAATAAATCCCAGTCGATCTAGTTTTGGTGAGCCATCGTGCTTCTGCCTGTCCCTTCGGGCAGTAAAAGGCGTGATGTTACACATAAAAAATATTACTGATAATATTATTTAATAACAATTAACTAGTAGTTATATTTTCTCCATCGAAACCAGTGGCGTAGTGCCCTGTTGATATCCTGCTACGCCGTAGTAATTCCGCTACGATAGCTACGAGCGAAACGAGTTATCGCAGACGGTTTAAAAAGTCATGTTTTTTACGTGGATTTAAGCTCACAGCCACGTCAAGTGTGACCTTGAAAGTTCTGTATTTCGTAAGTAGTAAGGGTGAGTTTCGTAGTCAAACTACTAGAGTGAGCTACAAACTGCTAGTCGTAAGTTTTCCAGTTTAAATGTGCTTTGTAATTTCTAACTTATTCGTTACAATTATAATATAATAATAATATAATATAATATCTTAAATCATTAAGCATTTTGCAAAGTTTTTAGTTAGTGTATATACAACAGTGTTATTTTTGCTATCTGACGTCGCAACAATAACTGAAAAATACAAATTCTTTAACTACCATAACCCTTATGTTGCATTAATTTTCTCTATCTATAAAGATGTTGTTTACGTTTCAGCCGGCTTTCAAATCCGCACGATGTCCATTGCAATTCATGTCAAGCGACGTGAATAAAAGCTGACAATATCTTAGAGAACTTTAGCCGACGTTCATTGGAATGCTCCGCAGCGCGTACCGTATCTATACGAGAGAATAATCTCGTTTTCTGCGGCTTTTAACGAAAGCCCGATACGGAGTCGCAGAGCAAAACAAATAGCGGGTAGCTGTGCACATGCGCCGGGAGCACGCACGCACGCGCTTCCGAGCGTCGCGGCAGTCGCGCGCCGCCCGTCGCCGCGTCCGCACTCCGTGCGAACTGTGTCTACCGCGCTCCCACCACGCGCTAAATGGCGCCCAAACCGGGACCTCACTCTCGCGGGTAAGTTCCTTACATCATCATATCTTTTTATGAAGGGAATAGTATTCGTCCTTGAGATGACAAGTGGTCCATGACGCAGCATCCGTGAGGATCTCTGAGGGCGTGGTAGGGCATCGACTGGGGAGGGGGCACGGAGTCGGCGTGTTGGCGATAGCGCGCCGCCTGATAACGTTGCAGCCCTCCCACTGTCAACAAACCCTTACATTATATAAAACATTGGACATTTATAAATGACTGTAAAAACGAGTGGTAGCGGAGAGTCATCTCGAAGACGTGTATCTATTGATTTTCGCTTCGCGTTCCGGAGACTCTGCGGCTGTAGTTGCCTGAGACACAATTAGATATATTGTCGCAGCCTCTTTAACATTCTACTGCGGAACTTATCGTTTAACAAGTGAATTAGCGGCTCTCGTCACAGCCACTTCCGAGATACACAGCGGTTTCGAACAATTACTCATGTCAACGTGCTCTTAGCGGATACATCCCCGAAATAGCGAATTATACTTTCAAGGCACGTATCGAATCTTTAGTGGATAATGCTGCATAATACCTCATGTAAACAGTAATTTACATAACCTTGAGCTTCCTATGAAGAGTGATGATGTAGATACGAGTACGTATGATTAGTTGTGGATTTCCTTGAATGTTAATGTTTTAGCGAGTAATTCTTTGGTCATAGCGATATTTCTGCGCAGAATATATCTGTGTGCTTATTCATAGAAGGCTCTTGAGACGATGAAGTGTGATTTTATAGGTTCAAGTACCTTGAGACACATGACGACTATGGAATGGTTGTTGTTAATAAATAATGGATAAGAACTGAAATTCGGAAATATAATTATCTAAAAGAACTATTATTACCATTCAACACAAGAGGAACTACATGTTGTACCTAATACTAGAGTTGTTGTAATTTATAGATTTAAGTACTACGTTCACCCTCAATACTTGTGAATTGGGATAAGGACAAGATGAAGATGATATATGACAATTTATTTGGTCTATAAAAGTAACCGATGGTTATTTACGACATCCTAAAATGGGGCATGTTGGCTCAAAGGTTGGAATACACTTTAGTAAACAAAGTTTCGGGTTTGAACCTTGAACATTGAGAAATGGTATTACAATTTAGGTAAGGTCTATAATAATATAATATTATAAAGAGGAAAGATTTGTTTTTTGTTTGTAATGAATAGGCTCCGAAACTACTGGACCGATTTCAAAAATTCTTTCACCTCTGGAAAGCTACATTATCCCCGAGTAACATAGGCTACATTTCATTTTGAAAAAAAAAAAAAAAATTTTCTACCCCGTGCGAAGCCGGGACGGACTGCTAGTATGTTATAAGTCTTCAAATAATTCTTATCTATTACATCAAAATTTTGCAAAGAAATCTAATTTAAATTGAAAATTTTAGTACTCGTTAAAAAAACGCTGAATCTTTTTTAAATCTCAAAAAAACATCAAAGTAGGTACGTACCTACCAGCTAGAGCGATATGAATTCGGACACGAATCCGAGAACAAATTCAACGAACATTCTGGTTTCATAAAGAAATTCTCAGGATTGTTTGCTAGAAGTTATCTATATAATTCGGAACTCGCGACGTAGTCTAGAGAAGTCGAGGAGTTATGTAGAAGGTACGATGGTATATAATGTTATATACGAGTACATAAGGAGGTACAGCTTAGTGAAGGAATTCCGAACGCCTGTACGTTAGTGCAGTGTTAGATCACCGTCAAAGGCATGCCGAGTATTTTCGACTATAGCTCGTACAGTGTAGCTTTGAAGATTACTTACTTACTGCTTAATAGCATTATTTTAAGCCTTGCTGTTTATATTAACTAACTTTAGACGTAATATTATGATATGTATAGTGTACAGCTATAGTATCTCATTTATTGCTAGTTGTATTGTAATTGACTTGTGTTGTGACTGCCTCGTTGGCCGAGTGGTCGCAAGTGCGACTGCTGGGCAAGGGATCTCGGGTTCGATTCCCGGGTCGGGCAAAGTATTACTAGGTTTTGTAAAAAAATCTCAGTAGTAGCACGGACTCTGGAATTGTGCTCGGTTTATGGCAATAGGCTCACCCTCTATTGGCATGGCACTCTTAAAATAAATAGTGAGAAGTGGGTGGTACATTGTACAATGTCAGTGAGTGCCGTAATGTGCACCTCTACCTACCCCTTCGGGGATAAAAGGCGAGATGTTATATTATGTTGTGTTGAAATTAGACAAATCGAAACGTATAATTTAATTTCTTGTTTGATGTAGAAATCGAACCTCGTCGTTTACTTCGCTTGCAAACACTAGACCACTGCGTTAGTAATTGGACTCAAATAGTTACGACTTTTGTTTACTGAAATGGTAAATAGAAATATACCACATGACCACTATTTTTGTAAACAACCATTCTTGGGTATACATTTTCTTTTTTTTTAAATAACATTTTTAAGGACGTTGCAAAAAAAGGCGAACATAGTCTCTTGAAACAACGACTGTGGCACCTGACTACTATAGACTTACACGTAGAATACACACACATTGACACGAAGGACATCTGTCGCGTGACATGGCCCGTCATTACACTTCATACATTACGGTGTGCAAGTACACGCACACATAGATACACCACTGACATTTTGGTGTTTCAATCACTTCTAAGTGATATTGTCTACGTATACAATCTATCCGCCATTTTTCAACGTCTTTATTCCTTGTTAAACTGTCAAACACCAAGCGGTCACCGGTGACCGCAACCTATTGTTCTATAATTGTGTCTACAAAACCGGTACTCGACGAGTTAAGATAGTTATTCTTTTCTAACAGGAACTTTTATAAACTGGTATTTGAACGAACGAATTTATTGCGTTATTGAGTTTAGAAATTCACAGAAATGAAAAGTGTGAAATCGTGTCCTATGTTTTGAAAAATAATGGGAATGCAAAAGCAAACATTTGGACACGTATTATTCTATTGAAAACATTGGTATGATACTATGTAAATACCTGTATAGGTACCTACGCTTTCTACATACGCTTTTGACTACTACAAAACATTATAGCATGAGTCTTTATTAAAGTTGTATAGTTTTTTTAAATCATACCAACTTTGTAAGAAAATTTTCCTATGGAATATTAAATAGCTATTATATCGATATTTGCATCATATTTGTAGTAAAACGAATAATTTTATTTGATATTGCGTGGAAAGGGTAGAAGGAATAGTACGGTCCGCAGTTTTCCCAAGTTATGTTATTGCCCCCATGTAATATGGAGCGAGGCTACTCCCATTGCCATACACCGGGCACTATTCCAAACTTTGTGCTAAAACCTCATTAATATTTCCGGGTCTACATTCGAACCTTCGTGGTGAGGATTTGTTGCAATCTTTAGATTTAGTTGGCAGATTGTAGATTCTGTTTATAGATGACTAGCTTTTGCCAGCGGCTTCGCCTGCATGTCCGTGTGATAAAAAGTAACTTATATGTTATTCCGGTCTTTAATCTACCCTTGTTCCAAACTTCGAAATTTCATATCGATCCTTTCAGTCGTTTTGACGTGAAAGAGGATTGTTCCTCTTTCACGGCCCGACAAGGCCCGATTGAATAGGTCGCTTATGGGACGACGTGCTCCATCGTATATAAATCCATCCCATCAAATATAAATAAAAAAATACACACACATACACACACATACACACACACACACACACATACACACACACACACACACACACACACACACACACACACACACATACACACACATATCGTCACAAACTATCACATTTATAATATTAAGTAGGTACTGTTCCACAATATCTGATTAAATTCGTGTTAACTTATCAAACCAACGTTTTGTATGGATTATAGAGGTAAACACAAACTATTTATAATTACACTTATATATTCATTTCTTTTACACGTTATCAAAAAGCTTTTTGTCTGTTTTTGTCCGTTCAATAAATATTATTAAAAACTCGATAAAAAAAGAAACACGCTACAACAACGTATCACGTCCCAAAAGAATAAAATAACGTAATATCGTAATATAGAAAAAGCATTCAGTTCAACATAAACCATCAAAGGTTAATCACAGAATAGATATCCGTATATCCACAATGTGGCCACGTTATCAAGGACAGTCCCGTGGGGGCAGTACGAAGCGATTTCTTCTCCATTTATATGATAATTCGTGGCCAACGCCGGGGAGCAGGCCTTGTCTCTCCGATATTAAATGGACTGTGGCTCGAAGACGGCATTGGCCGAGATATCCCAGGAATGTTGTATACGTACCTACCGATATTGTTTATGAGACGCCGATTGGGGCGATATTGGATGAAAATTCGAATTGTCTTCTGATTCTTTTAGTTTGAAATGTTATTTTTAGAAAAGATAATACATAGGTACTGGTACTGAACATGTGTCTTTGTAGTTTTGTCTAACGATGATATACCTAAGTTTAGAGGTATAAGAGCATGATGACGGACGTTTCATTTCACTGATTATTAATTTTATGTGATTAGACGAACGATCGATTTTAAGGTTTTCTTTCATAAATGAAATGAAGTCTAACTAAAAGTTACCTCCTATAAAGTTTACCACTGCTTAACTTTTCAGGGAACCTTTTCAAGTATGGTTTAAAAACGAATAAACTTCTGTGAATGTTCTATCCTTTTCCTAGAAGAGCAAACACGCCTTGGCACACGAGTCTGAGAAAGAAAATGAAAAATCTTGTTGTATTCTCACAGGAATAAGAATGTCATGATCAAAGAGTTCTTACTTTCTACGGACACTACAGTCCTAGTATGTTAGACTGCATTACAAAGGTACAAATATCGATAGGTCTACAATCTCGATAACAATACTTACTTGTGCCACCGGTAACGATATGAATAACTCCATCCAACATAATAATATCTATTTCGGCATTGTCATTAGTACTTAAGTTATATATCGAATATTTTAAAACATCTACAACAAAACTACCATGTACAACA